GGAGGGGTTGATTGGAAGGAGAGAAATGCAAGCCCCACAGTTGCTAGGCTTGGTACCACTGTTCCTTAGCATGACCTGCTTTTTCTAGAGTACAAAGAGAGCTATGGGACTCACTGCAAGGTGGTCTCTGGCCAGGTCTTATCTTGCCCCACACCTCCTAAGTCTCCCCTCTGGATCACAGATACTCCGGGGATTAGCCTCAGAGAAGCCCCATTATCTAAATTGCAATTTCCAGTAAAATGAGCCACACACAGGCATTAAAGATCCTCTAGGTGAGTGCTCGTTTGCTTATCTGCAAGTTGAAATATTATTTTAATTGTTGTTCATGCTGACACAGTAGGAGTGCACGGATCCAGGCTGTTCTAACTTGTCTGGAAGGCAGCCCAAGGGCCGTCAGTACCACTTGATGCATCTTCAGGAAGGGATAAGGAGGAACCGACACCTACTACTTTTTGTGGTGATTTGATCATGAAATGTCCTTCATAGGCTCATGTGTATGCTCACTTGGTCTCCAGATGGGGGCGCTGTTTCCAGAGGCTGGGGAACCTTTAGGAGTTGGAGTCTAGCTGGAGGAAGTAAGGAGTTGTGGGGTGGGCATGGAGGGTTACAGCCTCCTTCATCTTTCTGATTTTATATCCTTGCTTCCTGGTATATGGAGAAAAATAAAGCAAAACAAAACAGAGCAGAGAACAACACCAGCTCTGACCACCACAGATAGAGCCCCAGCCACCATGACCACCCACCCCAACCCCCATCAAACTGAGCTGAAATTAACCTTTCTTCCTCTGAGGTTGATCCCTTCAGGTATTTTAACTCAGAGAAAAGAAAAGAAACTAGTACAATATTTTTTGTTACTTAGTAATTTGTAATTTCATACTTTTAGCTATTTTCATTTATTTCCATTTTTTGTCATTCTTATTATGGACAGTGCTGAGATCCACCCCAGGGCCTCCTAGATGCTAACTAAATTCTTGAATGCCGAGCTACCTGTCCAGTCATATTATTTTTAAAATAGCATAGAATTCAGAATTAGATCAATCTGATTTCCTTACACATCAACACCTGCAGCAAGATTTTTTTTCTGTTGTTTGTAAGGACAGTGCCTGGATCAGAAAAGGTACTCAAGAGGTACCATTAGAATGTATCACTGTAGCTGGGTAGTGGTGGTGCAAGCCTTTGATCCAAGGGACAGAGACAGGAGGATCTCTGTGAGTTGGAGGCCAGCATGGTCTATAGCGTGAGTTTCAGGACAGGCTCCAAAGCTACAGAGAAACCCCGTCTTGAAACACACACACACACACACACACACACACACATCTATATCATCACTGTCTTCATATGTATGCATATTCCTAATACTATTTCTTAGAAAGATCCATAAGAAAATGGCAGCAGGTTTTTCATGGCTAAGGGAAATGGGGTTGGGGGCAGGAGCTGTCACCATAACTAAGGTTCTTTTTCTTGTTCTTTTTCTCTGTTTCTATTTCCCTCCCTCCCTCCCTCCCTCCCTCCCTCCCTTCCTTCCTTCCTTCCAAGTCACCAAGTTACACCTCCAGCCATCAGCATGGTATTTTATTGATTGTCTTCATAGTACCTCATAGGTTTGGGTTTGTTCTGTTTTCATTTTCATTTCTGTAGCATTAGAAATAAAAGACCTAGAGACTGACATTGGAGTTTAAGCTTTGATATTGGAGTTTAAGCTTCAAGCTGAAGATCATTAATGCAAAGCAGCCAAGCCAGTAGATCTTACCTCTACCCAGCTGAAATGGCAGTCCTGTCTCCAAGAATCCTCAGAGGCAAAAGGCTCTCAGTTCCTGTGTCCTCCTGCCTTTTATTCCTCTCTCTGCCCAGCCATATCACGCCTGTCTCCACCTCCCTAGTGTTGGGATTAAAGGCATTTGATCCCAGGTGCTGAGATCACCTTTTCATGAGTTGTTTCTTTTAGGACTGAATCAATTTCGTGTAGTTGGTGTGGCCTTGAACTAACAGAGATCTGCCTACCTCTTAATCCTGTGTTCTGGGATTAAAAAGTGTGTATCACCACTGCTTGACTGCTATAGCTTGAGGCTGGCTTTGCTTTCTGAATCCTCAGCGAGCTTTAATAAATCACAAATAACATACATTTGCCACACATTTCATTCTAGGATTCTTTTTTCTTCTTGGTTTCTTTGTGAGTCCCTTAATCTATCATTCAGTAGTATGCTATTGAGTTTGTATCTGTCCTAGGGTTGCCGTTGTGGTGGATTTGCAGTCCTAGCCCACTGTGGCCAGATAGAACACAAGGTGTCATTTTAACTTTCCTGTATTTGTTGAGACTTGCTATGGGGGCAAATACATGGTTATTTTGGAGAAAGTTCCATAGAACTTTGAGTTGTAAGAAATGGGTCTGGGGTTTCAAGAAAGTGATCACACAGTCCAAAGCACTTTAAAAAAGGCAAAAAGTTTTATTTCTTTTAAAGGGTGCTTAGCCAAATCGAGCAAAGGCGCCCTGCTCCTCACTATGAGTGGTCAGAGCTTGGCCTCAAATTCCTCACATTGTGGGCTTCAAAGCAATAAGCAGCTGACAGGCAGAAAGTGATCCCCAGCAGAAAGGATTACCCTGAGCACATCTTCTGGTTGCAAGAAGTGCTGTCCCCATTGGAATTTGTGTTTCTGCCAAGCTGCTCCATCAAAACACATCTTAACGAAGTTTTGTCCTATTTAGCCTTTTGATAGAAAATATATTACATTTTGCTTACATTTTCCACAGAATCACCCACTTCCTTGTGCTGGAATCAGTCTGGGCTTTACTAATAGCATCTGCTCTATGAGACTGGGTGCACCTGTGTTCAGAGCGCATATGCTTAGCAGTTGTAATGTCCCCCTGCTAGGTCATTCCCTTATTCAGTGTGAAGTGACTTTGGGTTTCCTCACTGTTTCGGTTTGAAGTCTATTTTGTCAGCTATTAGAACAGTGACACCTGCTTATTTCCTAGGTGCATTTACTTACAACATTTTCCCCATGATTTCATGCTAAGGCTGTAGCTGTCTTCTGTGGTAAGGTGCGTGCTTTAGAGGTAGTAAATATATGCTTCTTGTGTTTTGGTCTATTCTACTAGTCTGCCTTTTGATTGGGAAGTTGAGACCATTAATTGTCTTATTATTGAAAGGTGTGTATGGATTCCTTCATTTTGTTTATTTGGCAGTTGTCTTAGGGTTTCTATTGCTGTGAAAATACACCATATCCACAGCAACTCTTATAAAGGAAAACATTTAATTGAGATAGTGGCTTAAAGTTTCACAGGTTTAGTCCACTATCATCATGGCAAGGAGCATGGAGGCATGCAAACAGACATGGTGCAGGAAAAGGAGCTGCTACATGTTGATATGCAGACAACAGGAAGTAGTCTGAGACACTGGGTGGTATCTTGAGCATATATGAGACCTCAAAGCCTGCCTTCACAGTGACATATTTCCTACAAGACCACACCTACTCTGTAAAGCCACACCTCCTAATAGTGTCACCTCCTTTGGGGCCATTTTCTTTCAAACCACCACAGTAGTTTTTTTTGGTTTGTTTTGTTTTTGGTCTTTTTTGTTTTTCTTTTTTTCCTTTTCCTCTCTTAATTATTATTCTGGTGTGCTTTACTTTTTCCTGTGACCTCATGGATGGATATTTCTCTTCAGTCCAAGGGGATCATTCAAATGCAGATACAAATACATTCACATACAGATCATATTTCTGTAGTGCTGTCTTAGTAAATTTCTTGGCCTATTTTTTATCATGGAAAGTTTTCATTTCTCCTTCAACTATACCAAACAGCTAGTTTTACTGGGTATAATAGACTCTGTGCTGGCAGTTTTTGATTTTCAGAAATATATCTTAAAATAGATATTTCCAGGCCATCCTGGCTTTTAAAGTCTTGAGTTAACAAATCTGCTATTATTTTGATGGCTCTTCTTTTATATGTGACATTGTGTTTCTATCTTGTTACTTTCAATATGGTTTCTTTGCTCTGTATATTTAGTGTTTTAATTATACAACACAAGATAGGACATTCTTTTTTGGTCTTGTCCGTTTGGTGTCTCAAATGTCCCTGTATCTAGATTGTCATCTTCTTTACTAACTCTGAAAAATTTTCTGTTATTCTTAAAATTATGTGCAGAAGCCCACAGAAATCAAAATTGGGCATTGGATTCCCTTGAACTAGAGTTATAGATGGTTATGACCTAGGGTGGGTGTTGGGACCTGAACTCTGGTCTTTTGCAAGAGCAATAAATGCTCTTAACCACTGAGCCATCTCTCTAGCCTCTGTAATGATTTTCTTTTTAAAACCATTTTCTATGCCTTTGAAAATACACTGCTTTCCTTCTTCTACGCCTGTCATCAATAGACTTGTTTTTTCAGGGTGTTGCACATAACATGGAATTCTCACTCACATTCTTATTGTCCTTGTCCTTAACATTGTCCTTGTTTGATTGTTCCAGTTCCTTTACTCTGCTTAAAGGCTCCAGTGTTCTGTCTCCCTGACTGGTTCTTTTGGTAAGACTTTCCCCAGAGTTTTTTTTTTTTTTTTGATTTACTATATTCTCTATTTCTAATATTTCAGATTGGGTTTCCCTCAGTGTTTCTATCTCTCTATTGAATTTCTCTTCCATCTTGAATCACTTTTCTTATTTCATTCAGCTGTTTGTGTTCTCGGTCAAGAGCTTATGTTCTTTGAATATACTTATAATATTGAGTTCTCTGGGATTTCATCTAATTCATTCTTGCTAGATGCTATTACTATAGGAGTAGTAATTTTGGAGGAGTTATACCGTCTTGGTTTTTGTGTGTTTCTTAAGTTACTGGGTTGAGATTTATGCATCTGGTGTTATTTCTTTTGGGGGGGGTTCAATTTTTAGTCAGCTCTATTTTTTTCAGTTGAAGTATTTACAATGTTCATGTTGGGTTTGGATGTGGTCAAGTTGAGTATATGTATAGTTCAGAAAACAGTTCTTCAGTCCAGGAATTCAGGGTTCTTGGTGCAAGCTCTATATTATTACTTGAATAGGGCATTAAATAGGAGAGCACCACACATGCTTGGTATTACCACCATGCAAATGTCACACCAGCCAATTATTAACAGCGGTCCCTTTAACTTCAATAGCTATTGAAACAACCAAGGATGACATGGGTATACTCAGATTTTAGTTAATAAGATTAGAAATGAGAAGGAAATAAAGTAGGTGAGGATAGGGATAAATAAAAAAATATTGAGGCAGATAAAGTAGCTGGGAAAGGAAAGTCGGTTGGGATACTGTTCAGGTCCACGGATTTTAGTGATTATTAAAGCTGTGGAAGGTTATCATTAATAAGTAAAAAGATGAGGATTGGAGAAACATACATGCGGGCAAAACACTAATACACATGAAATAAAAATTAATCATTTAACACATTTTTAAAAGGAAGAAGTAAAAAGTGGCTGAACATAGTGGCACACACCTTTAACCCCAGTTCTCAGGAGGCAGAGGCAGGTGGATCTCTGTGAGTCTCAGGCCCTGTTCTACATTTGAACTCCAGGCCATTCAGGGCTACTGACTGAGATCCTGTCTAAAACAAACAAACAAACAAACAAACAAACAAACCTCCCCCAAAATGAAAAGAGTAGTGGAGAGGATAAGAAAAGAAGATAGGACATAGGAATCAGACAGGAAGCATGAGCTGTGATTGTAGAGTAAAGAATAAACTGGATGGAGAAAATAAATAGCAGTTCTGGTTTTGCCTTCTCTCTTCTAGCACACCTTGGCTACTGCTAAGTGATGGTGGAAGCTGAGGTGACCAGAAAGTTCCAGTTCCCATTGAGCACCTCCACAAATGCCTCTGCAACACTGTTGTGTCATTACGGGGGAGTACCTATCTGTTATCTGTTCTTCTTGAATTGTGACCCTAACTAAGCATGCTCAGATGCTTGAGTTGAACATGCACTGGTTTGGGCCCTTCCCAAATGCCCCCCCCATATCAATATGTTTAGGCCTCTAACAATTCTTCACCCTTCCTTTGTTTGAGGCGAGCACTATGCTCTCCTGCCTGTAGGTGATAAACATCCTTCACGGTTGTGTCCTGACTGTGATTTTAAGTCTCGCACTTGAAGCTGCTCACACAGCCACAGCTGGGATGCTGGTGCTAAGCTTGCTTCTTCGGTTTTCTCCATTTTACTCAGTCCGGGACCCCAGACCATGGATGGTGCAACTGACTTTCAGTGCAAGTCTTCCTCACTCAGCTCAACACCCTCCTAAGACACATCCAGAGGTGTGATTCCATGTGAGTCTAAATTTACAGGGTTTGATGATGGAGATTAACTGTCACACTCATTACTGACTAGGAAAGCTCATGCTTTAGGATTCCTATTGCTGTGATAAACAGCATGACCAAAATCAACTCAGAGGAGAAATAGTTAATTTTATCTTACAGATCTCAGGTCACACTCTATCACTGAGGAAAGTCAGGGCAGGACCCTGGAGACAGGAACTGAAGTAGAGGCCATGGGAGAACGCTGCTTGCTGGCTTGCTTCTCATGCCTTGTTCAGCCTACCTTCTGATCGATATACCTCAAGACCGTCCCCCATGGGCTGGGCCCCTTCACATCAACCTGGATGAAGGCATTTTTCGCAACTGGGTCTCCCTTTTGCCAAATGACTAAAGCATTGATTGGTCAAGTTGACAAGATAACCAACACATGAAGAAGAGAAATGGGCCTAATAAAAAATTTGAATCCCTGTCCACAAAATAAAATAAAATAAATTCAACTGTTGTATAATTCCGTGTGACACATGAGACAGATTTGGGGGAGGCTCTGTGTTGACTAAGCATCCTGTCACGTAGCCTGTGGGCCTGGATCTGAGGCCCTGTCACAGATATTAACACCACAAGGAGCTGTCTTCCTTGGAAAGTGGCAGGAAAGCAGAAGCTCACATCTGGGCTCCCTCTGCACCTCATTTTAGAACTCCCCAGCAGAGGGCAGTCTGAGCTCAGGTACCATTTTTCCTGGCCACTGGTTTAGCCAACAGGGCAGATGGGGGCCCCTAGCCCCCTCACTGCCCACTGAAGCTTGGGCATGGTGCCCACTTGCTGGCAGCAGCAGCACCAGAGAAACAGGATGCACAAGGAGGCTGGGTAAAAGGTTGTTTTGAGTTCTCCCTAAGCCTGGCAGATGCCCGGCCTTGGCGTCCTGCCTCACTCCCCCATCTAGAATCCTGGACTCTAGGCTCATTTCCCCCTCATCCCAGAGCAGGCTGATCACTGTTTCCATTCACAGTTCAGCATGTGTTTCTCTTAAGCACAGACTCCTGGAGCCTCAGAGGTGGGAGAGGCTCCGCTGCTGTCCATCTACAGGCTGGCTTTTCAGATAACTGCAAAGGGCAGGTTGTGTGGGGGGGGCGGGCATACATTTGGGAAGCTGTCTTAGGGTAAGATGGTGGCAGCTATGTTAAATGAGGGAAGTGAGTCTTATGAAAAAAACAACTCAATCCTATTGTTTTTCTAATGCTGAGTGACTGGGGGTGGTGGAGGTGGTTGTGGTAGTGGCTGGAGAGATGGTTCAGTGGTTAAAAGCACTGGCTGTTCTTCCAGAGGACCCAGGTTTGACTTCCAGCACCCACATGGCAGCTCACAACCATCTGTAACTCTAGTCCCAGGGGATCTGATGCCTTTTTTCTGGCCTCTGGGACACTAGGCACATACAAGGTACATAGACAAAACAAAACTACAAAATTACTTTTAAAAATTGGGGAGGATTTGGGGGTGTTGGGGAGGGAAAGAATATGATCAAAATATATTGTGTCAACCATTTTTAATTTAAAAAGAGAGAGAAATGTGGCAGTGGTTGAGATGCATCATCACTGGTTACCAATTATCTCCTTATTTAACAGATGAGAAAAGTTAAGGTCCAGAGAGAAGGAGCTACTTACCCAAGGAGGGGCTCATTCCCTTTCTCACTAGAACTCAGCATGTTGGTGTCCTGGGTGCCTTGTGGGTAAAGGGTGAATGTTAACCAGAAGTAGCTGGCTATGGCTTGGACTTCTAGCTCTGTCCGACTGGTGGCCGCTGATTAATCTTAGATTGCCTCATTTCCTTCCTCAGCCAAAGAATTCTTATTTGGAGAGAAGCAGCCTCTCCTAGGACACAGGGCACTCCTTTTCCTTAGTGAGTCACAGCCTCTGAATCCACTGTGGACAGCATGACTCCAAGGCAAGAGTCCTTCCCGCTCCTGCTTTTTCTGACAAACACCTCCACTGGTGGTACTCCACTCCTTTGGCCAATACCCTATAACTCAAACTAGCTTCCCTAGACGTGTTATATACTTCCTGAAATGGGATCGTAAGGGTCCAGAGGACTGCCCATCTGCAGTCTCCAAAGCTCATGGGGAAAACGGGTAGAGGCACTGTCTTAGTTAGGGTCACTACTGCTGTGATGAAACACCATGACCAAAGCAGCTTGGGGAGGAAAGGGTTTGTTTCACTCACAGTTCCGTAGAACAGTTCATCATCAAAAGCAGTGAGGGCGGAACTCACGTACGTAAGGCAGGAACCTGGAGGCCGTGGAGGGCTGCTGCTTTAGCTTGCTCCTCATGCCTTGCCCATCCTGCTTTCTTATAGAACTCAGGGATGGCACCACCCACGTAGCCTGGACCCTCCCCCATCAATCACTAACTAAGAAAATGCCCCACAGGCTTGCCTACAGCCTGAACTTATGGAGGCATTTTCTTAATTGAAGTTCCCTCCTCTCATGTGACTTTAGCTTGTTTCAAGTTGACATAAAACTAGCCAGCACAGGCACAGCGGGTGGTTTTCCTGCCATATGCACAGGTCCCGTGGATGATGCCTGTGCTGGCCAAGGTCTTACAAGTGGGTTTTCAGAAACCAGTGTGCATTGGCATTGTGTCCACCTCCAGGAGAATGAGTAGGTCAGAGCCTGGTTGTGGATGTTTCTGTTAGTATTCAGGCCTCTGTACTGGCCTGTCCTTGGGGTCTGACAGGATACACCCTCAGCTGCAGCCACTAAGAGCACCACCTGTGCATATTCACTGTGTTCACTTTTAAGAGGGCCCTTCCACCTCCCCTCTCTCTCTCTCTCTCTCTTTCTGTCTCTCTCTCTCTCTCTCTGTGTGTGTGTGTGTGTGTCTGCCTGCTTCTATGTCTCTCCTTCTCTCCTCTCTCTCTCTGCCTCTCTCTTTTCTGCTACTCCTGTCCCTGTCCATTACAGGCCTGTATTTGGAATAGAGCTAGCCCTGGGAAGAATGTCATTTCCTTGTCACTATGACTAACTCCAGTGAGGATTAACACATAACAAATCCCTTTGTCGTGGGCTCTTGCTTGTCCAGCTCCTCCCAGCCAGCAGACACAGGATGTAGTGGTGATGGTGGTGGTGGTGGCGGTGGTGGTGGTGGTGAGGCAGTCTTGAAAAACTAGTCTTGAAAGAAATTACCTCAAGGATACCTCCTAGGGGAAGAAGTAAGAGCGTGTACCTATTTGTTCAAGGAAAAAGGAACAGAAATAGAAAGAAGGGGAAAAAAACAGAGGCTAATGAGATTAGCTACCTGCAGGGCATGGCAGAGACAGGATGGAAAGGATAAAGTGGATGAAGCAGGAACAGGACTTCTCTAAACAGAGCCTTTTGTTTTAACTACTGTAGGAGCCATTGCAAAGTTAAAATTTAAATGAAATAAAATTTGGAAGGAGACGGAGAACCCTAAAATCAAAGAACAGAACTAAATTTAAAAAAATAATGTCCTTTGACCTCCATCTTATTACTTTATAGTAAAAGTAACTAAACTTTTATTATGCATGAAACAACAATTAAACAATTAATTAATCCCTGTCATCTCCTTAAGTGACTGGTGCCATGGCTACTTTGACCAGGGCAGGGATGGATCATGGTGATTTAAAATCCTTCTAAAGGTACCCAACAACCGAGCCCAGGTGTTAATCAGTCAGAACTCAGCTCTGAAACCCTATTTATATACTCAGTTCTGGGGCAGGCACAGAGGCTGAGTTAACTGTCCCCCATATTCCAGGAATCCACGCGCTCAGTGACAAAGAACATAGAACATCATGAGGGTACACAGAAGGGGACGAATGACTCCTTTTATTAGCCATAAGTACTTCAGTGCTATAAGGATTTTATGAATTCTGAGAGTTCTTTGTGGGTTGGCTTCCTGAAAGAGAAGCGGTTTGAGATAATCCTTGCTGGTAGGATTCAGACAGGTACAGGAAAAAAAGATGAGGGAAATTCAAACAGCAGAACTCACTGAGAGCAAGAGGGGAGCTTGGTCAGAGAGTGAAGAGTAGGTATTACATGCAATGTAAGTGTGTGTGTGTGTGTGTGTGTGTGTGTGTGTGTGTGTGTATCCCTTATATCTTCAATCATATATGACTTTCCAGTGACCTCTTAGAGTTCCCAGTCTCATAAGAGGAAGAAGTCCACGGGAGGCTGGAGCACAGTTGTTGAGCTCTTGCCTCCAGATGTTACCCTTCCGTAACTACATCTTGGTAATGGGTATTTGCCTTGCCCCTTTCCAATGACTGACTCAGTAACTACCTAGGAAAGGGCAGATGCACAGCATTCTGTATGTATAGTCAAAAACGGGTTTTTGCATATGGGAGAGAGAATATGCTCGCTCCTTTGGTTGGTTTCATTGTTTTCTTTCCTCTCTAATGTCAGATCTGAGAAGCAGAAGTAGAAACACAGGCCACACCCTGTTTGCAAAGCAGGAAATCAAAGTTCTCCATCCTGCTGTGTTTTTCTGCAGCCAACCTGTCTGCAACCCCAGGTGTGTCAGGGGGAGGCGCTGGCAGAAAACACTTCATCTTCCTGTGCCCTCCCAGCTGTGCTGGGGCTCAGCAGGGAAAACAGAAAATGAGAAGAGAAAGAAAGCAAGAACAGCTAGCTTCATGTTGCGAAGGACTAAGCTGAGCCTGGTAACCAGAGGTCAACACTGGGTCTAGCTAGACAGCGAGACATAAGAAGAAAATCTAAATATAGATCATTCCTATCAGACCATTGGGCTTATTGGGTCCTGCATCTTAATTACAATCGTTATTGAAGTAAATCTGTAAAAAGTCCTAGGGTGGAAACAAAGGCAACATCTGGCCTTTGAGTTGCTGTCCTCCATTGTTCCATCCCCTTCCCTTCAAAACAAACAAACAAGGCATATACCCACATCTCTAAGAAGATAAAGCCAGTATCTGCTCCCTTTTGTTCTTTTCGTTCCCATCTGTCCCAAAAGCTCTTGCATCTTTCCTCGGTATCCATGAGGTCTTGATAGCAGTTCCGGCCATCGGGCCTGGGGCTGTAGCTTAGTATCCATGCTTCTTCAAGAACATACTTTTTTCCTTTCTTCCCCAGCCTGTGTCAGAAGCAGCCACCAGGGCCCAAAGGTGGTGGTTTCTCCCATGACACCCCTTAGACAGTGTGGTTTTTACATCCTGTCCTGGTAGTGTGTTTGTCCCCCTCCCCCTCAACCAGAGCTTTCCAGGTGCAGTAGCCAAATTTTGTTTTTCTCTTTCTCCCAGTGAAAGACACAGCTCTGATAATATTTGTGTAATATTGAGGCATGGATATTTTCCTTTAAACCAACATTTTAAAAACATTTTTAGCCTCCACCCACACTAAGAAATACATTTTATATTATCAACAGTTTGCACAGACAGACAGACAGACACACACACACCTGTAACACAATTTTCAGTTAAGAATACTTACAGTGTTGGATGCACTCTGGTATTTTCTTTATTTCATTCTTTACAAGGCTGCCTGTTGTGGGTTTGGAGATGCAGCTCAGTGGTACAGCACTTGCTCAGCAAACATGAGACCCTAGCACCAAAAGCAAAAGGTGCTTGTTGGGACTTGGAGGTAGAAAGCTCCATTCTAAATCACAGGGATACTCTGTCATTGCTAAACTGAGAAGAGCTTTGCATCCGAACCTGATCAGATTAGAATTAAGCTGTACACATATGGCCAGTTCTGCTTTGCAGACTGTGAAGTTGGCCTCATTACAAGGAAGGCCCCTCTGGGGGTTTATTGACAGTGACTATAACTTCCATGGTTTGGATAAGAATTAGAGCCTAGTCCTGCTTTTTGTATGTTTCCTCTTTGGTACTTTATTTTTTTCCCCTTTATTCCTTTAACATACCCCTCACATTCTGCAGTCTACTTGCTGCCTCAGGCTCGCCTTAAGACTGCTCTTCTCATGCTGCACTGTCACAGAACCCTTGTGTTGGTGACCATTTGCTCCCCTGACTACCCTGATAGCACCTGGCCAGGGAAACCCAGCCATCAGGTATCTGTGAGTGACTGACAGAAGGTAAATGATGGTACCCACAGGATCTTATTTTTCTACTGTTGTCTTCCCAGGGGGATCCACTGGGCCAGGGCAGGGCAAAGCAGGAGCTCCCCTGGGCCAAGGAGTAGAGATGAGTCAACAGTGAGTTCACAGAACTTAGTTATCCCTACAATACTGTCTTTAGACTTAATAGTTTAGAAATTCAGCTGGTGGATGTGGTGCATACCTTTGATCCCAGCACTCCAGATGGCAGAGGCAGGCAGATCTCTGAGTGTGAGGAACTCCAAAGTGAGTTCCAGGACAGCCAGAACTGTCACACAGAGAAACCCTGTCTCAACCCCCCACCCTCCCCCAAAAAAGTTTAGAAATTAAGAAAATAAACCTAGACTTGAGAGATGGGGCACATACAGTGGAGCTTTGGAATGGCAGGAGGTGATTAGACATTCAAAGGGAACAATGGCAGGTAATAAGCAGCCCTTTTGAGTTAACCCACCCCTCTGGTATAGGACAGCCTCACCTTGAGCAAGAGTTGAGAGGAATGCAAGGGTGGGGAAGGATGTCCCAATCTCCCATCTCAATATAGCAACATTCCAGCTATAAAGCCTTCTAGTAACTGTCAAAATAGCATCATAAAACATAATTGATATGTAAATCATGAGATCACACTGCAAAATGTTGTCACGATTCTGTTTGTCTACGAGAACAGTGACCACACATCTTTTATAGAGAAAGTAGCAGACGTGGTAGGCTACATTCCTGCCTCTCGAATAGAGGGCACGCCACCTCCATGAGGAAAGCTGATGAGAAGGCTCCAGGTAGGATCTGCAGAGTCTCACATACCTGGGTCTTTGTTCTTTCAACCTTACCAAATGCTTTCTAAGATAGCATTGTGCTGTGTGTCAAAGGAACAACGTTGGGCTGGAGGGATAACTCAGCGGTTAAGAGCACTGACTGCTCTTTCAGAGGACCTGGTTCAATTCCCAGTACCCACTTGGTAGCTCACAGTTCTCTGTAACTCCATTTCCAGGAGATCTGACATCCTTTTCTGACCTCCTTAGGCACAGAATTTATGGTGCACAGACATACATGCAGGCAAAACCACTCATGCATGGTTTT